AGAACATGCGACGAGCTGTTTACAAACCTCCAAATATGCACAACAACGCAGCATGCGACATCCAGCTACACGTGCACACGGAAACTATTCCCCAACGACAGCAGCCGGAAGCCTTCATCTTCATCTCCTTCAGGCTCTTCGCTGCTATCACGGCTCCACTCGGCCAAATGAGCACCTTTCTGAGGGACGCAGCTTCAGTCTGGCGAGCAGGAGTATAGCGGGACCAGACAAGCGAAAAGCATACCGAAGGTGATTTTTCAATGCACTGAAATCCGTCTGTCCGTGCTTACCGAGTGCTCCCACAATGGCAACACCGTCGTCACTCAGAACTCCCACCCTGCAATTGATAGGATCAACTTTAGATCAGCCTGGCTCTGCCCCCCTCCGTTTTGTACTAAGTCCGGCACGCACCAGCAACACACGGGAAGCGACTTTTTTTGCAACTTCCCAGCGCTCCCCTGAGCCTTCGGCGGCGCGGCTGCTGCCAGAGTCCAGGTCTTCCCTGGACATCGGACACACCTGGAAAGGTAACGGACAAGGCAATCCAGTACAGTACAATGCACCGTAAAGGGGCTTCGGCGCTTCTGCATTTCTCAACCTCTGAGGCTTCAGCCATTCGCTTCTCTCCCTGTGCCTTCTCCGCTTCGGCCCAGGTGATGACGCACCTGACATGTCTGGCCCCCTGTGGGTATTCCAGTCCTTCCTGCATCACCACCTCATCAACGACGGCTCCACAAGCTGTGGAATTCCTCAAGCCAGCAGGTGCTGTATGTGCATGAACATGTCGCATCATCATCACCACCACTCTGAAAACAAAGGCAGGCTGAACGTGGTGCGAAGCATCGGTTGTTTTCGCAGTGCATGCTTGAGCAATGTCGGTGCATGTCGAAAGGTCCGCTTCAAGTGCCGCATCTGACCAGAGGCTTTAATCAAAGTCATCTAGTTTCACAACCACCGTGACCATCAGCACGACCATCACCATCACCATCGTCATCAGCATCGTCATCGTCATCTTCGTCCTCATCACCATCATCATCATCAACATCATCGCCATAGGCTTGCTTGTGCACAGCCATCTCTAGCGTCATGCTAGGAGCCGTGCCTGAGTCAGACTCGGGCCTCTATCTCTTTCCAGATGTTCCCATACAAGGGAAGAACGACGACATCGTCGTCATCGTACTGCCGTCGTCGGGGGTTGTCGTCGTCAGCTCGTCAGCAGCGTGGGCATCGTTGTCGCCGACGCGACAGTGGTGGCGTTGGTGGCGGTTGCGAGGTGAAGCGAAGTGAAGTGGAGAAGTGGAGTTGAGTGAAGATGAGTGAAGTCAAGATTCCTATAGGACTGCCAACACCTGTCAAAAAATCAGTTGGAGAAGCGCCGACAGAAGCAGCTGCTCTCGGCAAGGCCCGAGTCTGAGTGTCCGGCTGCTTCACATCCTGCGAGGTTCATCTCAATGAGGGGTATGGTCAAGCACGAGGACGACGACTGCTACTGCTACTTCTTCTGCTACTATGACCATTGCATACCAGGTACCCATGCTAGTATTACGACCACTCTACAAAACAATCTCTACGGTAGTTTTGCTGCTTCATTACTGCCTTCGTTGAACTGCCAATTACCATCGTGGCAACTTACAGAGATTGAAGCGCTTAGCAACGACACACCACTGCCGGTCCTTTAATCCACGGATGTGGGAGAGGTCTTCAGGCATCTTCCGATTCAGCAGAGCTGCAATCACAGCCTGACAGGAAGGGTCGGGGATCTGCAGGATCTGGCTTCGTCGAACATGACTGTAGCTCCCGAGTGTCATCAAGTCCGTCTCCGGAATCGATGCCCCAGGACAAAGGAGTGTTATGACTGAAGTCTGCGCTTTAGGCTCGTCCTTGACAGGCCTCTTTGTTGTAGAGATTTCCAAGTTTGCACGCCTCGACACGCTCGAAGATGCCACGGCACTGCACTGCTAAAGGGCATGCTTATGCAAGCTGAAACTCTAGCACAAATCGTCGTAGCGAGTCCATATTGGGTCTGCACGACTGGGCTGGCGACCACCACCGGATCGCGGAGAGCCTGAGCAGGGCCTAATTACAGCTAGTCAGCTTGCTAAGCGAAAGCCTGGCAGACTCCAACGGCAAAAACGCTCGAGGCGCGAAGTCTGCAAACGCACTTCTCTCAGAGAAGTAATTCTGCCGACAGGAACCAGTAGACAGGACGACTGCTCGCGTTGCAAAAGCTCGGAACGAGCCTGCTGAGAAATCATGCAGGTGGTCATTCGAACTCGGTGCCTGGAAGCACTGAAGTGAAGATGCGGCTTTGTGGTGCGAGGTGGAGTGCACCAGAAGACAGCATATCATGTTGACTTACTTGTCGGCTTGAGTGGGAGATGTCTCACGCACCAGAAAGCTACAGAGTGCGCTCCTCTCGAGGTTGCCCAGCCCACGGTCCTCCGAAGCCAGGCGAGCCGGGGAGCTACAGGCCAAGCACAGGAGGACCCAGCCCCCATGTGGTCCTCGAAGACCATCTGCATGTAGCTGTTCATCTCGCCGAGGGAGGCCGCCTTGGTGGCTACCCGGCTGCCCTCTTCCTCCCTGGCCTCGCCCTCCTCGCCCTTCCTCTCTTCCCTGATGCTCTTCGCATGGCAGAAACAAACGCAAGCGAAAGTTCGGACGACAGGCTCGGCTTCCATTCTAGGACCACGGCATATCTGTCCCCACTGCCCTGCACGAAGCTGCAAAACTACGAACTTGAGAGTTGCAAGGGCTCGGGCCTGGGACAAGTGCAGAAACTCTTCTCGCAAAGTTTGTCCAAAAATGCTGTGGAAGTGAAGCCCCGGATGGGTCACTGTGGAAAGGCGCCTTCGTCAGGCCCCATCCCTTGGTCTTGACCATGGTGGCCCGATCAATAACCTGCAACCAAGGGTTCTTGAGGTTGAGATCTCTGCAGGTTCCAGGCTTCATCCCCTGGCCCTGCTTGCGGGCCTGGCCGCCATCTCCCCCCATGATACCTCGGCCCTCTGCAGGGCACCCTGGAAGTTACAAGCGTCAGGGGCCTCAGACCGTCTTGAGCCGTAGCCTACAGATCAAAAAGTATGCTCTGGGTTCCAATTGCTGCATAAGCCGTGAAAGTTCATGCACCTGCAAATAGAACTTTTGCGAAAGGCCAAGTGCTGCAGCCCGTGCGGCGGTGCACGAATTGCCCTCCCCTGCCTAAGAGCTCGGGACAGCCCAGGGACGGGGAGCCCCTGCCGTGCGTGTGATCTGCTTCTTGACTCCATTCATCTGCAGGGCACCAAGGGCTTTCCCCAGGAGCAAACACACGAACCCCGAGTTTGCGTGAGACACCCAGCAGCAAAGTGCCAAGACTTCATCGCTGAGCCCAACCTGAGCAGAGGCCAGGGCAACTCATTGTCTCCACGAAGATTGGTCGGGACAGATCTACGCTGCATTCGACATGCATGCGCATGCGCAGAGCTTCTCATTTTTTCAATCCTTCGTGAGCAACACCAGCACAGTCTTCGACGTGTGGATGCCTTGATCTCAATCGCGTGGATGTCGGAACATGGGAGCTGCACCGCACAGGCTGCCAGTGCCCCTATTCTCAGTTCTTCATGGAGAAATCCGTACATCAGTGAAGCACTGTCCACTGACTGTCCATGATTTCCAGCATAGTCCTCAGTTCCGTGGGCTCAGCCTGAGGCTGCTGATGATGATGACGACGATGATGAGTAGTCGTGGTGGCGGTAGGAGTCCTAGCTTCCGCAGCAACAACAGCAGCAGGAGTTGCAACAATAGCATTGGCAGCAGGCGTAGTAGTAGTCGTCGTCGTCGTCGTAGTAGTAGTAGTAGTAGTCGTCGTAGTAAGTCGTAGTAGTCGTAGTAATCGTAGTAGTCGTAGTAGTCGTAGTAGTAGTAGTAGTAGTAGTAGTAGTATTCGTAGTAGTCGTAGTAGTCGTAGTAGTAGTAGTAGTAGTAGTAGTCGTCGTCGTAGCAGTCGTAGTAGTCGTAG